AAATCATTTCTTAAGCGGTACCCTCGTCAAATCAGTAGAAATGCTTTAAATTGAATGAATTCTTACCTTGTTTACTTTTTTTTCCATTTCTCTCCGCTTCGTTAGTACCCAATTTCCGGTGGCGATGATACACAGTGATCCATCGCCCCGTAAGATTTATCGTTGGCTATTATTCAGTCATTTTATATATATATATATATATAGGAAAAAAAATAAGGCTGACTAATTTTTTTCTATTTTATGCACAGCGTGGACAAAATTTAAAACTTTTTAATATATATATATATATATATATGTACTGTGTTACAACTCTTGATTCTACTGACGAGGAAAGGTAACACGGCCACCACTGAAAGCTGAATTTTTAGTTTAGTCTAGGTGGCCGAGTGGTCTAGAGCGCTGAACACAGTGCAGGCGGTGCTGTCACGATATCCCAATAGCATGAGTTCGAATCCCGACGAGGGAAGAACAAAAATTTGCTTCCGCAAATTTGCAGATTTATCTTTGTTGTGCTGATATTTAGAGTAATTATAGATATATATTATAAATATAAAAAAATAGATATAAATTTAACAGAGAATAATAGAACTAGAAATACAGTTTCTCATTTTGTAGTTCTCCTCATGACCAGTACACAGCAGTGAGGATTTTTACATCACTACAATGCAGAGGTCGTCAAGGGGGAGGTCATTCAGAACCAGCTACAGATATTATGAGATTTTCCCCGATAGTGGCTCTCCTCATGACTAATGCGCAGCAGCATCGGGTTGACATTGCTACTGTGAAAGAGTCCTCAAGGGATGGTGCTCTAGAACTCACTAAGGGAAAATTATAAAGTTCAAATGATAAGAAGAAGAGGGAGATTAATCCCATCAAAAATTTTCATATTTCTTAATGAATATGCACAATTCTGATAACAATTTCTAATCTTCATTATTCATTAACCATATAAGTAAGAGTCTAGATTATTAAAATTCTGACAGCAATTATTTGTCATTGTTATCATATCTTTTCGTTGGTCAGATATCACAGTTAAAAAGAAAATGTGTTTCATCTTCGACCCCATTACTACAACATCTTGACATACTCTATTGTGTCGTGGAGTATTATTATATCTGCCTCTCTCTATAAGTAAATGGTGAGCAGATATGCGAAATCTTGTTAGACTCTGTCTTTCTTCAAATTTTTTAACAATATCAAGATATTTTTCGCAACCAAAATTGGATTTAAAAGTCAAATATGTGCAAAGTTTCCCTTCTGAGTGATTATTGAGATTTTTTTCCCAATCTTTCAACATGGCAATTTTAAATTTTCTGTTGTCAATTGGTTTACCCCTGTCAGAGGATGTTAGACAATTATTGATCAGTGAAAAAAGTTTCTCAGACGACATATACCACGACGGTTTCTTTGACTCATACAATTTCTTAGATTCCAAAAAGGCATTGTTTAACAATAGGAAGTGAGTGCCAGATTTTTCTAATCTGTAATAGTATTTAATCATTGCTTTAATCATGTTAAAATATATTGGCAGTCTGCCCAGCTCCGTTGAACACAGCAAAGTTAGTACTTTTTTTTGGAGCTCCAAGAATAAATTTACAGAATTTAGTATGAAGTTTTTCAGCAGATAATTTAGAGTAAATATGGTCAAATGAAACAATCCCATTTCTAAATTTAGCAGACATTGGGTTAAAGGCGCTCCATATCTCACTATATAAAAGGATGGGTTTTATGGTATGATCGAATACATGCATGCTTGTTTTGACTGAAGGATGTAAGGATAGAAAATCTTTAGACAATTTAAAATAGGCTTTTAGTGCCTTTTTATACAATTCATCCTGTGCTACTGTAAAGGAGCCAGATGCACAAAAATGTATACCCAAATATTTATATATATTAACACACTGTAGTTTTACACCATTTAACATAAAATCATATTTGGTAATCAATCTACCTGCCTTGTTAAATATAAGAACCTTTGTTTTATTTATATTCACACTTAAGCACCAATCATTGCAGTAATTTTGCAATATATCATTTTTTTTTTTTTGCAATCCGTTGGGAGATGTAGATAATAAAACAATATCGTCAGTATACATAAGACAGTGTAAATCTTGATTATTTATCGAAACTGGGTCCTTAGAGTACTTTAATTAGTTTGTAAAATTATTAATAAAGATCTTGAAGAGGTTTGGACTTGTTTTACCCTCAGGTGTGTTTAAAAGCTGTTAGAAAAGTTTCATTTACTCTTACTCACGATTTGCCAACTTCATACATGTTTTTAATGATGTTGTGAAATGAAGGCATAGTATGCAAATCATGATCAATACACTCATCTCGTAAATTAGCATTAAACTGAGCTGACATTTCCCATTCAAGTTTACAATGACAATCAGATAATGTAGGTACAAATTCTGCAACTCTAAAGTACAAAATGTAATCAAGGGCACTCTCCGACACAATAGAGTAGTCTACAACACTTGCTCCATGGGGAGTATAGCAGGTAAAATTACCATTTAAACCACCAAGTGTACGCCCATTTTAAATTCTGAGTTGATGAGAAATACAAAAATCACATAAATCTTTCCCTCTAAAATCATGTTTTTTATCTTGGTTTTTACGCAACATAATATTTTTATCCAAAGGATATGAATTGTATAAAGGAAGAACATCTACTTCATCTTGCATAATAAAGATCAGGATGCATTCCAGTTCTGGCATTAAAATCGCCACAAAGGAGAATATCGGCATCTTTACAAAATAATGTAATATAATTTTCAAGACATATGCGTTTGTCAACAATGTTCATTACTTAATTTTGTGTTTATCAGTCTATACTCGCTTGCACTACTTAGTACAAAAGTTAGAAATCGAGTAAAGATGTTATTCCGAAAAGTCTGTCCATAAGTTTATACTTGTATGTGTAACTGCTTCAAAATAAACATTATTTTCCCGAAAGATGATAATCAGAAAAGGTAATGCATGTGTAAGAGTCAAATCTATTTCTAGCAACAAATATGTGTCTTTCCCTCACAGCTGTGATACGTCATGAAACTCAATTCTATGGCGCTTTGTTAAAAAGCTATTTGTGACCTTTTTATAACCCGAGTAATTCGGTCCCTCCCCCGTGATCGTCTCTCCCATTCACAAGGTTAATGTAGCATCGTAGAGCAGCGGAATATAACGACTGAATTAAGTACGCTTTTAAAATGGTTGGTTGTTTACTGCATTTCGCCCAGTGGAAAATATTTCATGCATATTCGAAACAAGAGCAAATTAAGAATACATATTATAGGTAGTAACTGCAGAGTTGTTGGACTGGGATGAAAGACGTGACCTAGAATTTAGATTACAGAAAATTTGTGTATTCTAAATTATGTTAAATCGAAAGTAGAATGAGACACATGCTTTGTTACAACTTGACACAATATTCATTATAAATAACATACATGTATGAAGTTGTTTTTTTTGTTAATTTTTAATTTTCTTATTCAAACACGTATGGCGTACGCAATTTTAATCCTGGTATCTATTATGAGTTTATTTATTTTCTATCAATCAAGTAATTCTTTCCCTCAGTATTGTTCTTCTGTACTTGTTTAATTGTTTTTAGTAATAATCTCATGTTGCCCGTTGTGTGCCCATTAATTTGGAATAAAGTATATGCTGTAGATTACCGTATGACTTTCAGCAATGAGCAAAATCCATACCGTGTAGTAAGCCATAAAAGGACCAGGAATGACAAAATGTGAAACAATCAAAACAAGCAAAACAAACGGCCCGATTGATGATACAACAATAAACGAAAATAAATAGGCAGACAGCAACAAAAGACAACCACTGATTTCCAGGATTCTGTCTTGGGACAGTCACATAAAGAATGTGCATAGCGAGATTAAAAATGTTTGCGAGCGCCCAACCAATGCAAATATTGAAATTAAAATGGCAATATTTAAACTTGTAAACTATGCAAAACATAGACAATGAGCCATAACTGAATGTACAGGATCAAATAACCTCAAAGGAAATGTGAAATGTCAATGCTTATAAAGCTGCTAACCAATACCATTGACTTATCTTTATGGAAATGAGACTTGCAAATGCAAATACAACTGCATACAAAATATCATTGACTTAACATTAGTGGTTCATGTCAATAGACCATGACTGAGGTTGCGAGGCCAATTAAATATCCTAGGAAATGGGATGAGCCAATGCTAATAGATCTGCATACCAAAGTCTAAGGGTGCACTCCATACATGCCATAGTTTCGTAAATAAAATAATTTATTTTCCTCGACATTACTTGAGACATCAGATTTATCTCTCTTAATCCCAAAAAAAAAACGTTGACAGTTTCTGTATCCGTACATCCCCAGCAAAAAAGGCGCGAGAATCGTATCCCTCCGTTGAAGAAACTGGGGCAAATTTCTTACCCAGGTGCACCCTCGGTGATTATCTTTATGAAGGAGCTCCTCTGATTGTTCTTAGCCTTGCTGTTCCATTTTTATAGAACAAATAAGTCGAAGTGTATTTTCATTTATAGATATTAACTTCAGCACACAACTGATAAAAATTAAGACGACAGTTTATCATTATTGTATATTTTAATGTTTGAGGCCATTTTTCTCTATTCTTTATTTATTTTGCCCATTACTCTCTATTCTTTATATTTTATCGACCCATTACTCTTGTTTGGCCTATTTTTCTCTATTCTTAATTTTTTGGTACGTTTATTCTGTATTCTTTGTCCATTATTGCCTATTCTGTAAACCCCATCCAGTCCCTCACATAAAGACGACCTTATGATTTTTTGTTAGGTTGGTGTCTCATTACAGTATATTTATGCAACATATTAAATCATCTTTTAGTTGTACATGAGGGTCTGGATGGGGTCCTTCATTTCTGTATTCTTTAAATTTTTAGGCCATTTTTCTCTTATTCTTTATACTTTTTGCCCATTATTCTCTTTTTTTTTTGTATTTTAGTACCTCATTATTCTCTATTCTTTATTTGTTTGGTCCATTTTTCTCTATTATTATATATTTTTTGCCCATTATTCTCTATTCTGTAAACCCCCATCCTCACCCCCGTACATGTATTGACTTCATGATTTCTACACTCTGTCATTGTATATATATTCGGAATATAAAAATTTAAATTCCCATATGTGATCATATAGATCTATGTGTTGATTTTCATTCATAAAGAGGATTTCCCATTTTAAATGTATTTGGTAAGCATAATCGTTAAAGGATTATTGACCTAGGAAACACGCTCATACATGACGTAGAATTTAGTTTACAGAAAATTTGTGTATTTTAAATCAGGTTAAATCGAAAGTAGAATGAGACATGTGTTTTATTACACACCTTTAGATTAATGGAAGTATTTGACTGGATATCCTTATAATCAGACATATACTTGTAAGTAACTATAGACTCTTTACAAGACATTCTTGACTCATTTATCCTCATTTCTATTTTCTCTTTTCTCTATAAAAAAAAACGTTATGTGCTATGATAACCCAGAAGATAAAATTCCACTAGAACTAAATGACGAGATGCAAGCTACTATAAACAATTAGGGTAAAAGGGTAAATGTTGAAAAAAAGAAGAAGAACATTTTTGAGTAAATTTTTGTATAATAATTTGATTCCTTACCTAAAATATGTACAAATGTATGTGTATTATCTTGTGCAAATGTAAGAGAATCTTACAAAATGTACAAGAGTTAGACACAATATTCATTATAAATAACATACATGTATGAAGTTGTTTTTTTAGTTATTAATTTTTTGTTTGTTTATTTAAACGCGTTTGGCGTACGCAATTTTAAAACCTGATCTATTATGAGTTTATATATTTTCTTTCTATCAACCAAGTAATTCTTTCCCTCAGTATTGTTCTTCTGTACTTGTTTAATTGTTTATAATTATAATCTCATGTTGCCCATTGTGAGCTAAGCCATTAATTTGGAATAAAGTATATGCTGTAGGTCACTGTACGGCCTTCAGAAATGAGCAAAATCCATACCGCATAGTAAGCTATTTAAAAAGGCCTAGGCATGACAAGATATGAATCAAATCAAACAAGCAAAACCAACGGCCTGATTGATCATACTACAATAAACGAGATAAATAATGCAGACAGCAACAAAATACAACAACTAATAACAGGATTCTGACTTGGGACATCCACATAAAGAATGTGCATAGCGGGGATAAAAATGTTTGCGAGCGCGCAATCCATGCAAATATTGAATTGAAAATGGCAATATCTAAACATGTAAACTATGCAAAACATAGGCAATGAGCCATAACTGGATGTGCAGGACCAAATAACCTCATGGCTCAAAGGAAATGTGAAATGTCAATGCTTATAAAACTGTTTACCAATACCATTGACTTTTCATTATGGAAATGAGACTTGCAAATGCAAATACAGCTGCATACAAAATATCATTGACTTAACATTAGTGGTTCATGTCAATAGACAATGACTGAGGTGGGCGAGGCCAATTAAATATCCAAGGAAATGGGATGTGCAAATGCTAATACATCTGCATACCAAAGACTAAGGGTGCACTCCGTACATGCCAGAGTTTCGTAAATAATATAATCTATTTACATGTACTAGTAATAACGGTGGTTAGAATCCTCTTTGAAATTGATATAAACATTTTTAAAATATTAAATCAATCGTCAAATAAGGTTATAATTTCTTTTTTATTTAAGTAAGACAAGTCTTGAAATATCCAGTTATTTTTAGTTTTCTTGGCGCTCTTCGAAACTGCCCTTAAATTAAATATACAATTGGTAACAGCTGACCAAACATTTGGAAATACTTCTATGTTTAAGATTTTTTTTATGCAGTTCTTTATTAATTCAGTGGCTATCTAAACAAGACATTCTTAACTTAAGTACCCTCTGTCTATTGTTGCTGATAAGAACTTGAGTAGAATGCGAGTTATATTTGTTTTCCGAAAAATAACTTATGTCTTGTTGTTTCTGTGAGTAAATGGCTCAACCAATCACCATTATTTCGCAAAAAATTAAAAAATGCTTTCACATAAAGGGATCATAAGATTCATTAAGTATGACTTTATATTCTCTATTGTAGAAAATTGTTGCAATCATGTCTAAATGTCAAGAATGTGAAACCGAGTTTAAAACTGAACGGAAATTGGCCATCCACAATTGCAGTGCTGTTGAACGTAAGTGTAGATAATGTGCATCAAATGAATCATGAGAAAAACTGGTTTTTTTTTTTAAATTTTCACACTCTATATCGTGTAGGTTATTCCATTGGCCAGGCTCATTTTCTATCACATACCACAAATGGTCTCAACTATGCATAGCTAAATTTAAGTGCACCACATTTCACTCTGAGAAATTATATTGATCGTGTTAAAAAGGGAATGAATAGTTGTATAATTTGAAACGTTCCATCTGAAACACTCATCATACATATAGCAATGTCGCCCTGGTGATTGACAAATCACCTATCATTAAGTTGGTCAGTAACTGCCCCTATGTGTAGCTTAGATAATCATGGCATTTGTTAAGTACCCGAAAATTGCAATGATTTAATGTCACACTACAATATTGTATTGAAATTCTACTGTTGATAATTGCCATTTATTAACAATTACTATTTTCAGTCAATCGTTTTTAAGTTGCATGTTAAATATAAACAATATTAACTTAATTGGTTACCTTATATTAAAACATTACTTTTATCTCTTCAATTATGGCTGACATGAATTCTTCTTCATTTCGCAAAATCGACTTACCATCTGTCAGACCAAGCAAGAAAACAAACTGTATATTTCGATGCAAAGATGCAGACAATTTTCAGATAAAAGGGAATCACCGTATTTTTACATTAGAAAATCTTAATGTCTCACTGATTTCAAGGGGCAGGAAAAAAGATGCAAACAGATTCTGATTATGGTCCTTCAATTATCTTTATGATAATTTGTGGACAAAAAATACCACAAGGATCATAAGAGCTCCAGTCTGCAAATTATTAAAATAATATCACAAATAGAACCATTAGAGATACGGTTCCACAGTTAACTCAGCATCAACACATGCTAGACGATGATCGACTGACACAAATAATCAACAAGAAAAGCTAGAAGTATGAAATCTCGTAGTTCATGACAAATCCATTCCTTTTTAACAGAAAGGCAAACTTTACAACAACAACAAAAACATAATTCTCAGATAAAAAAACAAAGAATAATGAATGTGACCTATCGAATTAGACTTATCACCGGGTTTGTACTTACATAAGCAGCACGACGGGTGCAACATGTGGAGCAAGATCTGCTTACCCTTCCGGAGCACCTGAGATCGTCCCCAGTTTTTGGTGGGGTTCGTGCTGCTCAGTCTTTAGTGTTCTAGTTTTGTTTTGTGTACTGTTGTTTATCTGTTTGTCTTTTTCTTTTTAATCCATGGCGTTGTCAGTTTATTTTCGACTTGAGAGTTTGAATGTCCCTTTTGTATCTTTCGCCTCTCTTTTAAAAATTGCATTCCTTCAAAAAAAGATAGAAAATGATAAAACCGACAATGCATCCTTCAGAAAAATAAACATTCCGAAATAACAATTCCAATATGCTTTTACATCACAAGCAAATACAGACATCCCATAGCTAATAAAGAAAGTTTAAAACTACTTAACAACATGTTTTTGAAGTGTTAATTAAAGTCATAGGCCTGCGAATCAATTTATCATTTGTGAAGTTCAAAGATGATTCATTTCTTGCGAGAACATGTATATACAAATACAAGCTGTGTTTTTTTTTTATGTTAAAACGTTATATTTCATCAGTATTTGTTTCTTTTCATTGTTTTTGTAGAAGAACAGTGCATTGTATCATATTAAATGACCATAACATTCCCAAAGCCCATCCTATGAATTATAAAATCATAAATTAGTATGAGGAAATGTCTACTTATTTACAGGAGACAATATTTACAGATGTGATGTTTATCATACACTTGTATAACATTTATCAAACAAATATTAACCATATCAGGAACTAAATCACGTACTAATTGATTCAATTATCAGGTTTCGTGTATGATTGTTGTATACTTCTAATGTATTATTGTTCTTCCCTGCGCATGTATCACTCTGCTCAACTCTTCATAACATTGCATATGACGTCTTTTTGACGTCAAATATGCTTGACCATGGCTCAATAACTTATGATTAACGTAATGATGTTTGACCCGAACTATCAAGTGCATGTATCACTCTGCTCAACTCTTCATAACATTGCATATGACGTCTTTTTGACGTCAAATATGCTTGACCTTGCCTCAATAACTTTTGACCAACGTCTTGATGTTTGACCAGAACTATCAAGTCCTCGACCAATACTGATGAACACTAATTATACCCCACGCAACGAGTTGCGGAGGGTATAATGTTTTTGACCCGTCTGTCCGTCCGTCTGTCTGTCCGTCCGTCTGTCCGTCAGTCCGTCCGTCAGTCCGTCAGTCCTATTTCTTGTCATCGCAACTCCTCTCAAACCACACAACAGAATTTCACGAAACCTTTTTAGATAATAAGGACATACTATGTAGTTGTGCATATCGACAGGAAATTACGATTCAATTTTTTTTCTAGGAGTTATGCCCCTTTGAACTTATTTACTTTAATGTACTACTGCAACAGTTTGTCATCGTAACTCCTCTCAAACCACACAACAGGATTTCATGAAACCTTTCCAGATAATAAGGACATACTACGTAGATGTGCATATCGACAGGAAATTACGATTCAAATTTTTTTCCAGGAGTTACGCCCCTTTGAACTTATTTGCCCAATATACTACTGCAACCTTTTGTCATCGCAACTCCTCTCAAACCACACAACAGAATTTCATGAAACCTTTTCAGATAATAAGGACATCACTACGTAGATGTGCATATCGACAGGAAATTACGATTCAATTTTTTTCCAGGAGTTACGCCCCTTTGAACTTATTTGCCCAATATACTACTGCAACCTTTTGTCATCACAACTCCTCTCAAACCACACAACAGAATTTCATGAAACTTTTTCAGATAATAAGGACATACTACGTAGATGTGCATATCGACAGGAAATTACGATTCATTTTTTTCCCAGGAGTTACGCTCCTTTGAACTTATTTGCCCAATATACTACTGCAACCTTTTGTCATTGCAACTCCTCTCAAACCACACAACAGAATTTCATGAAACTGTGTAGATAATAAGGACATACTATGTAGATGTGCATATTGACAGGAAATTATGATTCAATTTTTTTTTCTGATACAATTTTTTTTTCTTACACTTATTTTATTTCTCCAATGACAATGTGGGGACGTGGGGTATGTGAGCTCGCTCACTAATGTTCTTTCATTCTAAATTGAGTGAAGTTTTTTCGATACTGGGATTTCTTAACTTGACACAAACATGATTCCCTTTTAAAATGTTTTTTTTTAAATTGAGTGAAGCTTTTTCGATACTGAAATTTCTTAACTTGACATAAATATGATTCGCTTTTAATATGTTTTATTTTTTTAATTCAAAATAAGTATACGCAATGTTCCCCTTTTTAAAATTGATATTATTATCTATAGTATTTTTCCAATAAATCCAATATTTACTAAGTCTAGTTATAACATTACAAACCTCTTCAACGTCAATTTTATCTATATCAAAATCAATATATGTAATATCATGTAACATATAAAGTTTTGATTTGATGATATATGTCTTCAATTCCACGATTGACAGTCATTGACAACGTTGCTCGCAACCTAAGTCGACGTTTCCGTAATACTTTAAATAATTTATTTTGATTATGATATGTATTGCATTATAATTAAAATTTTAATGCTCCTTTTTGTAATTTTATTGGAGTTTAAAATCGTTGACCGAAGCACATTAAATGTGTATAAAGCACGGGGGCGCTTCATACTGAAAAAAGTGCACACGATCAACGCTTTTATAACCCTAGAACATTATCATGAAGAAAAATTCAAAAGGAGTTCAGCTGGATGATACAGGCACAGGAAAAATCGATAAAAATGTCAAGTTTTCTGGATATTTGTAAACGTTATCAGAATATGGAAACTCAATTTTACGATGTCCAGGTCGTTAAAGTATTAACTTATCAAAATGTAAATACAATGTTAAAATGTGAAAACTAACCCGTATTTTTATTTTATTGCTTCGTTATCATGAAACTAAACGTGTTTGTGAATTTAGCGGAGTAACTAGCGGCGAAACAATAAGTATGGTTTCCAAAACTTTACCATTTTTTAGACTTTCCCTATTCCAAATTTTAACGAATTTTCTAATTATCAAACACGTCATTTAATTTCCACACTTTTTCTTCACCTACTTTTTCCCAAAGATTAAAAAAATGTTTTTCTCCTATGTTAGTGTGGGAGTGGAGATGAATTTTTAAAAACCGTCCACATTTTGCGACATCCGTCATGTACTATTGTTGTAAACAAACTTGACAGTCCTCCTCATTCCTTGTGAAACATAGGATTGACCCAGTCGCTTTCCACCTTACTCTATTTTGGGCTTTTCTTTTTGATTCGTTCCAGGTATATCTAATATCAAGCTTTACTTATTCTTTATACACGTTTCCACCTTTCCTGGTCTTTAACTTTCAATATATTTTTTTCTTGCTGTTGTTTTTTAGACCTAGTTTTTTGCGTTTTATGGAGGTTGGTGGTTTCGTCTCTCATGTCTTTCAGATTGTGGAATAGCAGAGCCAGATCGTCTACAAAACCTAGGTCTTCTAGCATTTTTACAAAACTCCATTGTATACCACTGGGTTAGTGTCTAGTGCTTACTTTGTTACCAGTCTATAGCTATCAAGAATAGTGTGGTAGAAAGTAGGCAGCCTTGTTTCCCACTAGTATTAACCTGGAAAGGGTTTGTGAATGATGATTCATGTATCACCTGAACTGTGAAATCCTCATAATATGCTTTGGTCATGTTAGACGATATTCCATAATGCATAATCAGTTGCCACATCCCTTCTCTGTTGACACTATTGAATGCTCTTTCAAAATCGATAATGTAGAGGGATGTTTGTCGTTCTTTTGAATGTCAAATGATTGTACGTAGAGTTTCTATTTGGTAAGTGCAGCTTCTGTTGGATCTGAAACCAGCTTGTTCATCTCGAAGTACTTTATCAATTGCATCCTTTATCCGGGGAGTATAATTGATAAAGTACTTCGAGATGAACAAGCTCGAAGTACTTTATCAATTGCATCCTTTATCCGGGCAGTATAATTCGATCGGCACAGAATTTACTTGCTACAGGTAGAAGTGTAATGCCTCTCCTGTTTTCACATAGACCTAAATCCTCCTTCTTTGGCAGCCTTACTAAAAAATCAAACCTTTAACCATTATGTAAGTATCTTTTTCTTCCTCCTGGATTTTATTCATGAATTTGTACATGTATTCTATTATCTGATTTCCTCCAGATTTAAAACTTCAAGTGGTATTCCATCTATGACTGCTGATTAAATTCTAAAGTGATTTGAGGCCTTTTTCACTTCAATTTCTTGACATTACCTGTTTTTATGTTCACATCTTCCCTGGTTCTACTCTTCCTGGTGGGTCTGGTTCTTGTCTATTCAGAATTTGATAAAGTATTCATTCCATCTTTCTGTACGTTAAGATTGCCTAAGGTTTTTCCATCATTATCCTTAACTGGTTTTACGTCTACTAAAAGTTTTGGTGATATCAATCAAGGTTGTGATGCCGCCCTTGTATGCAGCAAATTCTGCTTCAGTTGCAAGGTCATTATCATATTCTATCTTGATTTCCCTACACTATTGTTTCCTTTCTTTGTTGAGATCCTGGTGTTCGTTTTGTGCCTCCAGCTTCTGTGCCTTTGTTCTTGCATTATTAACTTTTCCCTTCATTTTCATTCTCTCTTCTACTTTATTCCATGTTCCATGTGACATCCAATCTTTCTTTTTGTTTGTTTTCCTTCCAAGCACCTTTTCAAACGCTTCCTTGATGATATCTCTACCTGCTTTGCATTCATTATCTATGTCCAGTTGTGGCCCATATTTTTCTGATCTCGATTTGGAATTCATCTTTAAGATGTAGTCTTTGAGCTTCTCTACGTTGTACTTTATACGTGTTTGTTCTACTTTTGTCCCTTTCGCAAGTATTTTTTTTAACTTTTGGCTATGACGAGTTGGTGTGAGCTGACATTGGCCTCTCTCATAACGCTATTGTCTAGTAGTGAACTTTTCCATCTTTGACTTATCATGATGTGGTCAATCTGGTTTTATGTTTTTACATCAAGGGATTCCCATGTCTCCATGTGTATATTCTTATGTGGGAACAAACTGCCTCCTATAAATAGTTTAATCAAACTGATTATGTGGATCATCAATTTAAAATTCACGTTATTTCTTTGCAGCAGAAATTGAAAAATGCAAATGCAATGAATGCGGAAAAACATTTCAAACTGGGAAAGGTTTAAAAATTCACATTACAAAAGTTCATGGAAAACCATCATGTAAAAGAGCATCCAATTCTAAAACCACAGAATCAACAATCGAACAAGAAATAAAATATGACAAACAATTGCCTTGTCAAACATTGGACAAGAATCAAGACCATGATGACTGCAACTCGATAATATCAAAAGAAATAGTTCCCGATATGCAGGACGAGGCGACATCTTCATTAAAATCATCAGACAATCAAGCAGGTATGAACGTGTACAAGATACACATATTTTGGGGTTTTTCTCTCCACTTACATTAAGTAGTATCAATTCAATTAAGTGGTTAGTTGTTTTGTCTTTTTATTGTCATATTTTACAACACTTTTAGGGACAGTTCTCTAAATTATAATGTATTCAAAGTGCTGGTTAGTTTTCCTAGATACAGTTTAATTTTAATAATGACGTTTACATCGGTCGAATCTTTTACTGTGTAAAACATTTCATGTATGAAACATATACCACAAAATAGATATCTTTCCTTTTAGTTCGTCAACAAACTGAAAGGTATGATGCACAATATCGTTGATACAACTTACAATTTAGCAGCATTTTTTTCTTAATATAGTATCGCTTTCATTTGCATATGGACTATACGCAATCAAAAATAATTTAATCAATGGTACTATCGCTTTCATTCAAACTCTATCCTCTAGCTGCGGATACCTGTTTGTATTTGCTAACGGTAAACAATGATTTGTACTTAATACATGAATAGCACCAGGAAAAGTGATTTTACGAAAATATTGCTCTGTGGCATCTACATAATATTACTGGATTTCAAGAAAATAAAAGCAGGCCTCAAATTGATAATAGATTAATGCTTTAGTTATTATTTAAATAATTGGAGTAGATTCTGCCTACTAGTCTTGATTTTTTAACATTTTAACCGCTTATTAACATCTTTGAGATGTTCTAAACAGAAGTTATTATGATACTTTTCACCTTTACATTAAATAATATGTACTAGTAAAATTATAGAATATCAACATAAATTCAGAAATTTTAAATTTTGAAATATATTTGTCTACTTTATTAATAAAATATTATAATATTTCATAATTTTTCTGAGTTACGCTTAAATGCTTCTCTATTCACGCTAAAGTTATCTATTGTCAAGTGAACTAGAATGTAATGTAATTTGAAAACCGTGTTGATAGGAATGCACGAGACGCATTGTTGTTGTTTTTTGTCTTAACAAAACCAGAAGTGGCTACGTCTTATATATGTCCTTAACACCAGTAACAAATAATCTGTAGAAATTTTGCATTTTTCTCTAAATATTTGGTAAATGTACGAAAAATACAATTGTAAAAGACGACTGAACAGTAATTTATATATTTTTAATAGATAAATTTGACAACACTTGCTTGTGTATAGCTTGCGAATGCAGCAGTCAGTGTAAAAGTGTAATGTTGACTGCCAAAATAATAATGTCCATTTAAAGGTAAAATACAGAAAAAGTGAGAGAAAAAAAAAACATATAGATTTAGCTCAAAATGCGGTTTCTTTACTATGAAGAAGCTTTCATTCAAGTTTTGCAAATTCCGTGAAGGTTTAACAAAGTTATTCAAGTTTTAAGTGTTTAAATTAAATTATCGTACCTGTCGCTAAATTGCAATTTATCTTTTTCTTCAGATACACAGATATCAATATGGGTAGTTTTTTTTTGTAAGGACATGGCTCATAACTAATTTGACCAAAAACTATGTATAAACTTGACTTTTTAAGTAAAATTCAAAAATTTCGGCTTTTTTACAACTAAATGTTTTGGACTGAAATTAAAAGCTTGTATATACCAATCATAGTTTTTGAGGAATTGTACATTTTTTGCAATTTAAGGGGCCAAATTATGGCTCTAACATACTTTCTCTTTTATACACAATTTCAAGTCAGGCAAAAAAAAACGTTTCAGTCTTGCTTCAAACAATATAATAACAAATTAGTTTCATATGTGTATTTTTGTTGACGGAAGATAACTCATTACATGAAGTGTTATTATAATTCAACCAGTGCAATCGATTAGTTTTCAAATGAACATAAATAAATATCTAAAATTAATGGTAAAAGAACAATGTAATCACATAAAGTAACAACAGCAGAAATTGGGCGACTGAAACAAACGTCTTTTAAAATATAGGTGTAGTAGGTAAAAGATATGAATGGACAAAACTGGTCGTTAAAGTAGAAATGTATTTTCGATTTCACTGATATAACTACATAATCATTTGAGAGTATAGTTGGGTTTTTTTTACAAAGAACTACATGTGTATTTATCTATGTATTTATTAGTGAAAAGGCTAATACATGTTATTCATTTAAATTGAAGACACAGAAAAAGCTGTATTCAACTGCGATCAGTGCAAAGGGTCATTTAAATCAAACAGAGGATTGAAACAGCATGTTTCAAAATCGCATAAAGTTTCCACGGAAAATGCACATGATAGTCCAGTCTTACCAACAGATGCAGATAAAAGTGATACATGTAACGCAGGACTTGGAAAGAAGGAAAAATCATTAACCGATGAAGATGAATTCCAGAATGTAGATATTGTGGAAGCAAGCGCAAATGAGGGTGAAGAGTCGGTTTTAGATAATAGTGAGTTGGTCCCTTCACATATAAACGAAGAGACGTCCATGCTTAGTTGCATAACTGTTTTTCATTCAGATAGTATGACTCAAAATGTTCTTCTTTTTGTCTTTCTGTTGTTGCAAAGATTGATGAAACGAAAATTCCTAAAATCCTAAAATCCTCAATGGAATAATTTGTCATTTCACTATCTGAAAATACAATTTCTTTTAATAAGTACTACATGTGTATTTATGTATGTATTTAATGCTTACATATACATTTATTTAAAATTCACTTTACAGGTGTTCAAAACGCTGTGTTCAACTGTAATCAGTGTGAAAAGTCATTTAAAACAAACAGAGGACTGAAACAGCATGTTTCAAAATCACATAAAGTTCCCACGAAAAATGCACACGATAGTCCAGTCTTACCATTACATGCAGATAAAAGTGGTAACGCAGGACTTGGAAAGAAGGAAAAATCATTAACCAATGAAGATGAATTCCAGAATGTAGATATTGTGGAAGCAAGCGCGAATGAGGTTGAAGAGTCGGTTTTAGATAATAGTGAGTTGGTCCTATCACATTTAATCGAAGATAACACGAAGATACGTCCATATTTAATTTCATAGTTTTTATCATTCTTTTTATATCTCATGATGCAAAGGGCAAAACGAAAATTTTAAGTTCAACAATGCACTAATTACCGAAATGAAGATATTATGGAAGGAAGAGCAGGTGATGATGAAGAGACGGTTTTAAATAATAGTGTTAAAGGGGATTTTAGATTTCTATAAAATTGAAAGAAGATTGCCAATATGCGGTGTAAAAATTGTATGATAGTCTCAGAAGATAAGAAAACATGTGTAATTTGATCATGTAGCGGATACATTTTATAAGGATAAAATGTATTCATTTTTAGATAAAGCTTCATTCGGTATTTTTGTTACTTTACTTTTTCTAAAGTTAAAAAAAGACAACACAAATCTTTTAGCATACATCATAAAAAAAAATCCAAAATATTTGAATATGCTTATGATACATCAACTCAATACGACACCAAAGAAGCCAAACGCAGACTAAAAAAAATAACCTGAACAATAGACAAATATATTTTCATGATATATATATGGTCTCGAGTGTTGAAAAATGCGACTCATTTCGACAGAGACTAACAAATGCCATTAATAACAAAATCCTAAAATGACATTAAAACTTAAAGAATGAGTATAGGGAGACACGATCTGGTGCTATGCCTTGAGTAAAAAAAGACGCGAAAATTCATAATGCCATGGCACAAAACTAAAACTTCGTATTTTATCTGGCCTTACAAAATTATAAGCCAGGTATCTTTGACGAGTTTTTTTTTTTTTAGCGAATTGATTTTCATCAAACAAATTATGTGACGTATTGATTGATCAGTAATTAATTTAGTACTATAGAAGAAACAGTGAATGCAAGATATATTCATGATTAGGTATAATGGTGTAGAGTCACAGTTTCATTATTGTTTTGAATTACACACAGAGAGGTCGTGTCAATTGAAGAAGTCAGTCAGTTCAGTAATCTATTGTATGTTTGCCATTAAAAATATCAAATGCAGACATTTTCAAGATAAAAGTTGTTAACCGACAAGGGAGACGCATGAAACAGTGGCTATTTTTCTAAGCCATCTACGGCATTACTGTCTTTCTCGTTAGCAAGGTAATTAAGTCCATGCCAACCACGCAATTTAGTTTTGATTTATTAATGGAAATTAAATGGATAATCCTTTACATTTATATGTTTACAAATTGCAGGTTATAAAGAGGATGGAGTCAGATGCAATCACTGTTGGAGGTCTTTTAATACAGAAAGAGGTTTGAAACAGCATATTTCAAAATCTCATAAGGCCTCTATGAAAAATGCACACAATCAAGTGGTAGATCCAGTAGAAAATTGTACCGACCATGTAGATCATGGGAAAATAGAAAAATCATCCATTGAGGAAGCCGAATACTTGAATGTTGATACTGTGAAAAAAAAAGCAGATGATGATAAAGTAACATCCTTAATGCTTTCCGTAGCAAGAAATAGCACAGATACTTCTCTTGATCTACAAGGTTATCTTTTTATTATTATTTGATTATGGGTTATATTTTGATAAAAACATTTTATATAGTTATCAAAAGGGGTTCCGAAACGGGCAAAATGTAAACAAGATGTGTGTTACTGTAAAGTTTAAGGGCTTTATCGTAATAAATAAATTTTAACATTTATAAAATCGCCTCTGTGTACAGAAATATGTTAAATAAGTTTTATTTCTGAATTGATCTTTCATATAAACATCGTGTGTTAACTTGTTTATAATATAAATTATAGCTTTCCCACTGACAAAATGATAACTTAAAACAAACTGAGTGAATAATTACTGGAAACTTTAAGATGTTGAGTTGTTTCCAGGTATTAATTAAAAAACACTTCCCTTAGCACCACTGAAGAGACATTAAGTGTTGAAATGCGCATCTAGTGCAGTAAAATATGTACCAATGTTTGAATGGAAAGTCTACAATAATAATGTTTACATTTTGCAGTTAATGAAAACGATATCTTCAAGTGTAATCAGTGTGAAAGATCATTTAAAACCAAAATAGGTTTGGCACAGCATGTTTCAAAGTCACACAAGGTGTCTACGGAAAATATCTGCAAAGATTCAGAGGAGGCACATGCAAATGAAAGTGGTAATATAGAACATCGAAAGATAGAGGTTACATCTACAGAGGAAGAAGAACATCGTAATGTTGATACTGTGAAGGGATTGCCAAATAATAATGAAAAGTCGGTTTTATATGATAATCAGTCGGAGCTCTCATCTACAAACATTTGTGAGTCGGCTACAATTCTTGCCTTTGAAGAAAATATTAAGAACACAGACACTTCTGCTGAGTTACAAGGTCAATATTTTAAGATACTAGTTTAAAAACAAGATTCCTTTTGTTGTTGATCCAAATGACGAAACGTTTGCAATATTTTGAAATGTTCAAGATAGGTGATGATGTAAGAAATATAGAATCCCATTAGACATGATTGAATAAGAAGTATTAGAATATACTAAAATATACTTATTAAATTAAACGTTCCTACACAATGATGACAGAAATTGTTTGACAAAAAGAGAGGTTAACTAGGTTTTTTTGCATTTAAGAGGGGTTACACGAAGTGCAAAAATAAAATTGAGAATGTAGATGGGGAATGTGTCAAAGAGACAACAACCCGACCAAAGAGCAGAAAACACCGCGAGAAAATCCCGCACCTGGAGGCGGGCTTCAGCTGGCCCCTAAACAAAAATGTAAAGAGTAGGTTTCATAAGCTTTGGTTTGCTATTTCTTCAAATCAACCCATGTGACCTTTGCTTAGCATTATAGCCTTCAAATGATGACTACCTAAAGCATAATAGATAATCATGTCATTACCATGTATGTATGGCGTTTTAATTTACAAACCATAAGTACACCCAGATATTTTAAGTTTTTCATCAATTTTTCTCTCTATTTTGTCATGTTTGTCAAATTCTATTGTTTGTTGTTGGATTCTTACAATTGTAACCTATTGCATCCAAAATGATCAAGAAAAGATTGAAAATATTAAAGCAGAGTATTCAGAAGATGGAAAGAAATTGTAGACAGAAAAAAGGTAAAAGAAACATTTGTTTTGTCATCTATTCTATGCTAGTCTGCAATGTTGGAGAGTGTACATTGTTGAAGATGCAAATAGACCTAAGTGAGCCATACATGATCCTAAGAGCCTATAGTTGTGTATGTAGTGTAAATCGAATCAAAACATTCAACAGTAGGTAGCATGCATTTTCCATGTCAACATAAAAATAACTTGAACATTTGATTTCAGTAGAATCAAAATCTCCCTATTCCACTGAAGAAGAAGAAAGCGACGACGATTATGAAGATGCTGTGCTGCCTGAAGAAGTTCTAGAATCTAATGAAGAAACAAATTCTGAATCACTAAAAGGTATATAACCACGAAATTTGTAAAAAAAAAAAAAGAAAATAGTAATAAATTTTGTACATAAGAATAAAAGAAAAAGATACGAGTTTATAACCTACTTAGACTTTACGGTCATTTAGTGGCACTATTAAAACAATGAAGTTGGTTATGTTTGAAGTCGTATAAGTATGACGTTTCACTTATCATATAAGGATTATATACTGTGAAAATGATGTAGAATTGTTGAAGTTTTTTGACAATTTCCTTTTAAGAGATTGTTCAGCGTGATACAAGAACAGTTACGCCGAGGACTAGGCGACTTGTAGATAAGCTGATAAAAGAAAATAGCCTGACAAAATCAATAACTTCCGTAGCAGTAACAGAAACAAAGAAACTTGTGGACACTTTTTTTGAACAGCTCAGAGAATTATCACCAACATTAAAGTGGCAGAGATTTAATTCAGGATCGTATTACGATAAAACAAAGGTAACATTCTTGTTTCAATATTCATTTGAAAACATTATCCCGCAACATCAGTTCATGTCGGTATTCAAATTAACATAGTAAATTAAGATATCAATTCAAACAAAACTGAAGCTCTACATCAATGGTTTTGATTGATTGATTGATTGATTGTTGGTTGCTTAACGTCCAGTGGCAAATATTTCATGCATATTCAGGACGAGAACAAATTAACAATAAACACAATAGGTAGGTTCTGTAATAGGGGCGTCTGGGATCAAGGTCGGAGAAATTTAGACTGCCACAGGAAATGAGGGTATATTGGCTAGGGACAGGTTTTGAAAGATATTGTTTGCACTAATAATGTTAAAAGTTGTAAAAGTTGACTGAATAACCATTAGAATGATTAAATAATGCATATGCATATATATAGATCTTTAAGTTATCTTAATTTAGGAGCTCTATAAACAACACAATTGATAAAATAGGATGTAATATTTCGTTTGTAATATAAGATTTCTATATGTACAGCTAAATTTCCAAACGAAATCTGGTTTACTCTTTGAAAGAATTTAGTACAGGTTTTAAGTATTTTTTGGAACGAAATATCTGACGGAATAATGTATAAGTTATACATAGATTGCGTTAATTGAAATAAAAAAAACGTCACTACAGACACGTTCCGTCTATTCGTTCTTTTAAGATTGGTCACTAATATAATTCGTGAACTTCAATTTTACTTAAAAAATATAGAGAATTTCATAAATTTGAATTTTTTTCTGCTTGGAACTTTTTTCTAATAAATGTGTTTTATCTTGACTGCTTCTGTTTTCTCACGGTTACGTGCTTTCTTCGAGTGCGAAAGGAGATGCTGCTTGATCCCCGACCGGGCAAAACGAAGGCTTGAAAATTGGTATTTATTTTAACCTGTTATCCGATAAGCCCGATTCATTTAAGAGTAAGTAAGAATAAGAATAATGTGTCCAGGTAGAGTGTCATGTTGTTCTGCGGACTGCTTGCTACCTTATGAACTAGTACGTTAACAATCCACCTCAGTATTCTGGTCTAGTACACACTGGCAGGGTCAATATTCATATCATTATATAAATAACACATACCTGAGAGGGTGATAGAGCAGATTGTTACCCCGAGAAAACATTGTCAACTGAGGCGAAGCCAAGGTTGACAATGTCTTTTCGAGGGGTAACAATCTGATCTATCACCCTCTCAGATATGTGTTATTTAATTTATTATACTGAATGTTCTGGTATTACTGTCGATTAAATTTCAAATTCAAAGTAATAAACTATGACGTCTTGTACATAACAACCATCCGTATTTAATAAAGCGCACACTTGATCAAGCGTCTCCGTGAAGGGTAATAGAGTACTTGCCATAGGATAGAGTCGTATTTAATAAAGCGCACACTTGATCAAGTGTATCCCTGAAGGGTAATAGAGTATTTACCAGAGAAAAGAGTAAATTAACACCCTCGTATAAGCCAATCAAAATATTGCATTTTTACGTGAAGTATAATAAATAAAATGTTCTCGTCCTCACGTGTTTGTAACATTATAGTCGATGTTATGATTATAATTATGTTTTTTTTATGTAGAACGACCAAGCTGATGAATTTGATATTATGATATATCCAGCTAAAATACAAGTTGAAGTTAATTTTGACTCTCCAATTACTGGATTTTACAAAGTTAAATTTGAATCGCCTAGAGTTGATGAAAATTTTAAAAACCTAGAAACAAATGGCTACATCCATCCTGCCAAGTTCAAAGAATATGTGTTTGGTTTATTCGACAAAGTATTCCAATCAACAGATCATCATATTTTTAGAAGAGTAACAAGTAAGTGACTAGTTATTTCTTTCTATGTAGTTTAAGTTACAGCAGTAATACAATTAAAAAATGCATATTAAAGGAAAGTTTTAATGCCGTTTACATAGTTTCATAGAAAATGTCAACAGAAATCGACGGTAACTATTCTGAAACGACTTGAGAAAATGGAAAGATGTCAGTGTTCTACTTTTGTACGGTATTATGTCTGCTTCTTTAAAGCGGTGCAGTTTTTAAGACATGTGCGAACGTTATTATTATTTCTTTGCATGTACGTATACTGCCTTCTTAGAATGTTCATATTTCATCATTTTTTACAGAGAAAGAGAGATCGGACAACAGCAGTCCAGCATACACTATCATTTATAAAGGCATCCCTGGAAACCCTATAGATATAGATCTAGTTCCGTGTTTCCGGGTTAATACTTGGCCATGCATTGCAAGAAAAATCGACCCGACCTGGATACATTCTAAACTTGGAAGTGTAGTTAACGATGCTATCCAATGCCATGACGTCGTTTCAAAGACCTGTCCAGACGGTAAGATTAATATAAGTAAAAAAAGGACAAATTTTAATACTTATTTAGTTCACTTCTGGATTTTTGGTGGAGTATGTTTTGCCTTTGGTTGAAGTGGAGTTAACCGTTGGTCTGTTCTCTAAATAACTTTTTGTTAGTTTGTTTCATTTAATCACGACTTTAAGAGAAGTCTACATAATATGTTGGATTGGCAAAAACCGATGAACAATGGAAAATAACTCTTCTTATGAAAAATTCCACAAAATCGATAGTAAAACAATGCCGGTGACGATACTGATTAAAAGTTATTTCTAAACAACAATCGTACATTTCAAAGAAAGAATTTCTTAAACTGCGTTATTTGAAATAAGCATGCAAATATATAGGTTCCACATAGTCCTTAGCATGTTCCAATTTCCCAAAATATACCTTTTTTCCACATCTTAAGTTTTCGTGAACTTTCAATATAGAAATGTTGTCTAATTTCATAAGTGTTAATCTTTGCTGCATATTATTCGATTCTTTTGGTATTTTTTTCTGGACTTCTCTGATCTAGCTGCATACATATACGGATAATTGGCATGTTCGAGAGATGTATACAGCCAGTAGAAAAATAATTGAAGTTGGCACTTAAACAAACATTCAAATAAATCTGAAAAGGCGCCAACAAAAAAGTTATTGTAGTATTTTACTATTATTAATACTTCAATCAGATATTTGCATAATGTCGACCTTTTGTAATAAACCAGATCATGAAACTATGCAAGTAACCTCTACAATGCTTCCGACTTTAAAGAACTATATTAATGTATTTGTGACACTCAGTACCAGTAGCAGCTAATTTTTGTCATATATAAGATAATTTTATTAATAAAACTTATTATTGTGTTTCAAAATGTATTGAATAATTTCAGATGTTGAAGACAGAGATCTTTTCTGGCGATTGTCATTTTCATACACAGAGAAGAAACTGATCAACTCTGCTAACAGTGTCGACAAATTCAGCACAAAGAAAACAGTATTCAGACTAATTAAATCGCTCATTCAAGAATTGAAAGATAATAATCCAGAAATAATGAAAAAATTCTGTTCATATCATATCAAGCAGTTTATGTTTAAACAATATGATGACTGGGGGGAAATATATGACGTCGCAAAAATTCTTAGAAATGTACTACAGAAATTGTTGGATCAACTGTCAGTTTCTCCCCCTTTTATAGATAATTATTTTATAGAAAATGATAATGTTATCAGATATGTTCCTCAGCCCGAAATTGCTTTGGTTGTAAAATTTCTACGAGAAAAAATGAAAGAATTATGAAATTGATATTTCTATATGCCTTGACAAGGTAAACAAAGTACAAATGCACATCATATAAAAAAATTAAGTAGAAAAATTCAATAAAACCATCTTGAATATACACAAAGGTAAAACATAAGACTCAGATCTACGTCTGGTTCCTATCGAACTACTTTACTCTTTCGTAATACTATCTGACGTTACAGTATCAAATCGAGGTCCATATGTTTATCTTCTGATCTATATAGACATCCTGTACTGTATGATGTTATCAGCCAGCACGTTGTAAATCCGGATCATTGTGTTGGTCTAAAACAAATTACGGTATATTCATATTTCTTTAGCATGTTATTGTCCCGAATATTTGTCTCTAGACGTTAAACAAACATCAATTAATCAACAAATTCAAGTCAAACTTTTGTCAATATATGAAATTTGATTTATAGATTAAAAATCAAGATCCTCCGAGAGTTTATAAAATGCCACACGGCAGCTAAATCAACAGCTAAATATATATTATCACAGCAAAGGATAAGGTCCAATATTTAGTAGTCGCGAAGTCACAACTCACCAATATAAACTTGATGTTAGTATCTTTTAATAAAGTTTAATACAATTTGCAATCATTACATTATTGCAATAAGTCCTCGAAAAGTAGTCGAAAGAATTGGAAATAGGTCTCCGTTTAGAGGGTATCGGAATTTTGATTATTTCTTTATTTGGCGTCAGGTTTGACTCCGATTTTGGGGTACTACATCTATTTGAAACTAAATGTCGATGTGAGTTCCAGCAAACATTAGTAACAACAACAAATGTGTTTTTATACATGTTATCAATATACTTTACTGCATGTTTTATCTTATTTTTAGGTCACCTGGCCCATAGGGCCAAGTGAGCTTTTCTCATCACTTAACGTCCGTCGTCCGTCGTCGTCCGTTAACTGTTACAAAAATCTTCTGCTCTGAAACTACTTGACCAAATTTAACCAAACTTGGCCACAATCATCATTGGGGTATCTAGTTTAAAAATGTGTCCAATGACCCTGCCTACCAACCAAGTTGGCTGACATGGCTAAAAATAGAACATACGGGTAAAATGCAAGTTTTGTCTATTATTTTGAAAACCTTTATAAATAGAGAAAATCTGACAGGGGCAAAAATTTTCAGAATGTTGAGCTCTACCAATTGTTCATTTAAGTCAAAACTGTCAGGGGACTTCTTATAGGAGTTGTTGCCCTTAAATGACAAATTTTACCCTTTTTTTTCATTTTTGCCTTTTATCTTGAAAACTATAATAGATACCGAGAAACTTTTAACAGCAATAATGATCGGCAAGACAAGATCTACAAATAAGTCCCATGATTGAAATCGTCCGTCGACTCTTTATAGAGTTATTGCCCTTTGATGACGAGTTTTACCTTCTTTTTTTTGCGTTTTGCTTTTAATAATTATAATAGATAAATAGAAACTTTGAATAACAAAAATGATCAGCAAGGCAAGATCTACAAACAAGTCAAATTTAGCCCATATAGTTAGTAGACTGTCACTCTTTAAAGGAGTGATTTTTCTTAAATGAGGATTTTTTTTTTTACCCTTTTGTGTTTTGAGCAAAAACTAAAGAAGATAAATAAAACTAAACAGACAAAACGATCAGCAATAAAAGATAAACAAAAAAGAGATTTTTGTCATGAATTCTATACTCATCAACAATGTTAGTGTAAACAATATTTCATTATGAATTATACGAATTACAAGATAATATATATTCATATTCACAAATAGGATTCAGAAACAAGCAGCAAGTGCTTAACAATGTTAGAGAGTGTCCTTTGTTGAATATGCACATAGACCTATGTGAGCGACACAAGAGCTCTTTAGAGCCTCTAGGTATGGGTTCTTGTTGCTAACACTATCACCTTAGTGCATTTTCAACTTATTATGCCCCCGCCGTAGCGGAGGGGGCATTAAGTTTTACCCTTGTCCGTCTGTACGTACGTACGTACATCCGTACGTCCCAAAATTGGTTTCCGATCTCTAACTTGAGTTTGCCTTAACCAAATGTTATGAAACTTATACACAATGCTTATTACAACAAAATACAGATCAAGTTTGATTTTTGGTGGCGTCACTTTAACCGTTCTAGAGTTATGCCCCTTTATTAATGGAAAAATTCCAAAATTTTAATTTTCCGTTCTCTAACTTAAGTTTGCCTCAACCAAATGTTATGAAACTTATACACAATGCTTATTACGACAAAACACAGATCAAGTTTGAATTTTGGTGGGGTTACTTTAAACATTTTCGAGTTATGTCCCTTTATAAACCAAAAAAATGCTAAATTTTTAGTTTCAGTTCTGTAACTTTAGTTTGCCCCAACCAAACATTATGAAACCTATACACAATACTTATTACCACAAAACTCAGATCTAGTACAAATTTGGGTAGCGTCACTTTTATTGTTTTCGAGTTATGTCCCTTTATAATGTTGTATGCAAGCGGGGGCATCATCTGTGTCCATGGGGACACATTTTCCATTTATTTTATATGCAGTTGGTTAAACTTGTATCTATTTGCAACATTTGGAAACTACAATTTTAGAACATTTTTGATCTCACCTAATCACGATTTCAATCTTTTTAAATCCAATGTTATTGTATTGGCAAATACAGAAGTCAAATATTTGACTTTAAGTTATTAATTTGTATTTACAAATTCAATTTCAAGATCATGATTTAAAAGACAACATAGTCGAAAGAAAAAAAAGAAACATTAGACTACAACAAACATTATTATGCGTACATTGTGTTTATTTACTAGATTTCTTGTTGTCCTTGTGTGGCCAAGTCAGAATGATATAGAAAATTTGTTTTAAATTTATGCATTTTTGCGACATGATAATCTGAGCAGCAGATAAAGATAATATAAAGTCGAAATTATTCAAATATAAAATTAAGAAGGACGAAAACATACAGAAAACTAACCAGAATAAGACCGAGTCTCGGCGAGGTGTATATTGAATTCAACCAACAACACTTACATACCGGTTGTGAACTACTTTGAATGAAGGTGGGTGGCCCATGGTACATACATGCATGATTCCTTTGTATAAAATATCTATAATATTGAAATTTGCATTAGATATATTGTAGCATTTTGATTGTCTATAATTGTTTTTGTTTTTGGTGTTTTCAGTTAGAATTTTAAATTGTGATAATATGTTAAAGATATAACCGCGGAATAGTTTTTGTAACAATATGCATTATTTTGATTTAATGATAAAAAGTGGCAATTAAACTAAATAAAAACATACACATTTTCGTATTTTTCTTTTGGTCAAAGACACAGTTATCGTCCTTTGAGTATACTCAAACTGTTTAAGTATTTACGAAAAAACTTGTGTATTTTTTTCATTATGGTGCAATGGAAAGTATCTTTGCTCATAATAGTCTAGTAAGTTCTGTCTGAATGTGTAGAAACTACCGTCATTCGACGCTTTAAATTCTCATATGTCAACATGCTTTTGTCGTCAGAGTTGGAACTACCAAAAGTTTTAGACAGTACAACAAACCATGCCTGCCACCTCTGCCTAAATAATTCTGAATAATAAACCTTGATAAACCGTATATATAATGTTTACGCGCTCCCAATCCATCTTCTTTACCTATATATACCATATGTAGTAAAAGGTAAAAACACTATACAAACTGTAGTCCAGCATCAAACAGAATTACCACTTATATTAGAGGCCTACTTTAAAGTAACGCATCACCTACGCGTTAAATATTGAGTTATCGGGAGAGGTAAGCGGACAGAAAGTTACAGGACAACAAGTCACAGGACAGAAAGTCACAAATTTGATAGGACAAAAAGTCACAAATAATTTGTTGACAATTGTATGAATATATAAGAGAAAGATCTTGAAATATTTACTTTTTATTACATATATTCCTTTTACAGTTTAGGAAATTGTTCATTAGTCTTGATAAATGAAGATTTATTAAATTTTAATCATGCAAAGGATATATTTCTTGGCACCATGAAGCCGTTTAAGTACCAAACCACTTTGACATTTTGTTTTCTTAACAATTATTTGATCATATTGTTGATATTTTTCAATAAATTTTGTTTACAAGGTTGGTTCATATATACAATAGTTCAAGAAAAATACAAAAAATGTTTTTTATGCCCTACCTACGATAGTAGTAGGGGCATGATTATGTTTGCTGGTCTGTGCGTCCGTTCTTCCGTCCGTCTGTCCCGCTTCAGGTTAAAGTTTTTGGTCAAGGTACTTTTTGCTGAAGTTGAAGTCCAATCAACTTGAAACTTAGTACACATGTTCCCTATGATATGATCTTTCTAATTTTAATGCCAAATTAGAGTTTTGACCCCAAATTCAAGGTCCACTGAACATAGAAAATGATAGTGCGAGTGGGGCATCCGTGTACTATGGACACATTCTTGTTTTAAATAAGTGTTTTCTTATTCAAAAAAAATAATCTCAAAAACTGAATTGTGACTTTGGGTTTTTGTCCGTGACTTTTTGTCTGTGACTTTTTGTCCTGTGACTTTCTGTCCTACATTCTCGGGAGACAGTGTAAGCCGTGTACAGTATTTTATAAACTGACGAGTGCTGCCATCCAGGCTTCGATCAAATTCACAGATTTATCCGTCTATATCTACCAAATTTGAGACAAATCGCTTCTTCCGCCTTGCCCCTTATTTAACATTAAAATCATACGGTTTCACCTGATGTTTCAGAATTGGCAGAGGTGGATTTTTTAAGTATGGTGAACATCCGAAAAATTAGAGTAATAAATATTTTTTAACTATACACCGCATCTACAAAACAAAGCATATAGTACAAATGCTACTTCTATTAATTTTACATCTTTGGCGTGGCCCATTATGACCCTTAGACTCGATGTTGACAATCTACGACAGGACAAAAGAAGCCGTTCAGAGCCATCTGCACATATTATGAAGTCGCCATATCCTCATGGAAAACCTTTTTATAGATTGCTCGAAACAAGAAAATGTTGTTGTTTTTTTTCTTTTTGTCCTCCCACCTGATTTACTTTTTCAATCTTCAAAACTGGACGAGCTGCATTTTTGTAGATAAACATTTATATTTAAAAAGATAAGAATATTTAAACCAAAACATTCATATGTATATTCGTCCCAGCAAATGTTGTAATACGATGAACAGGTTTCTCAAATTGTATCCAAGGAACAATTGCATTGAATGTATCGTATTACGGTATAATGATAAAGAGTAGTGAAAATTATGAGGCAAAGATCCAATTCGTACCTTTACATCGCATTTTTACTTTACTTTCGTTTATATATAAAATCTTTGCGTTGAAACACATGTCCACCTAGATTCAATTTCTTTAAGAAACGACTTTTAATGAATATGTTTTCTATTTTCTCCTTTTGATCCAACATTTGATTCCCTGAACAACTGATGCTCCTCAAATCAGGACAAAACACAACAAGTTGCTCTAGACTTGATTCATTAATGTCCGAATTTAGAAATTCTATTTTTTTCACATGACTATGTTTTTCAATGAGAGAACGGCGTTTTTCTACGAAACTTAATGATTGTTGATTTTTGATAAAGTTCAGCGTTTCAAGATTTTCACATCTGTTGACGGACAAAAAATGTAAATGTCGATGATTTAGTAGCAAATGTTCAATGGTGGTAACGTCAAAGTTTAGTCCATGTATATCGATATGAAACAGACATTTACAATATTCTGATACAGCCATTAGCCCATTGTTGGAAATACATTCGCTTTGTACTTCAAGAAACTTCAAATCAGAACAGTTTTCAACTAGATTTCTTATACCAGTATCATCCAATTTTGGACAGTTGACCATACTTAAATGTTTTAATTGACTACACCCTGACCCGAGTATTTTGAGGGTTTCAGGATACAACTGAATACCACTACCAATTGCTGGAATATTATAAATTTGTAAATTTTCTAGTCTTGTACAGTGTTCCGCGATATATTTAACTCCAACGTCGGAAAGTTTGGGACAAAACAAAATATGTAATGTTTTAAGATTTTTTGCTTTTGAAGCAATATTTTTAATTCCATTGTCGTCGACATTTGTACTTGTAAGGTCAATTGATGACAAATCACAGGGATTTATTAAACCATCAAAAGACTGACTGTCAATGCCTGAGCAATTACTTAAAACTAAATCCTGGAGCTGTGTTGCATGTCGTAATGTCTTGCGTATCGTCTGGCTTTGTAGATCTGATGACTGTATAGATAAACTTCTTAAATCTTTCTGCTTTGAAATAAACTGATCTAAGCACTGATTTAATATTGCTTCGTTTGCCCCTTTGGATATAGATATGTCAAAGTCTCTGAACTGAATCTTGTTGAATACTGTTAAGCACCCGACGAAGTCTGCGGAACGAAATATTCGCAGTCTGATTGATGTTAATTTTGGAAATGAATTGACTATATTTTGACAGACTTCTCTCTCATTGCCAGAAAGATAATTGACAATTTGCAAATTTGCAAGATTTGGAAGATCGCAACTAATACCGTGGCTGAACAATTTCATAAGATGGTCACTTTTAATCAACAGGTTTTGAACAAATTGTCCGATGCGAGGAAAATATTGAAAGCATAGATCAAAATCCTCATCACTGAATGTAATTAAATTAAGAATTATCCACAGATCACTACACAACGCAACTCCATTCCAATAGCTACAAACTTGACTTGTATTTCTTAATAAATCAAGTTTGGTTAAGCATGAAAATATATTCGTCAACACTTCTGGCGGAAGGGTATTAACATTCATGACATCATAAGCGATATATAATCTACAAGAAGAGGAAGAAAATATTATAGCTTTACTTCCACTAATTTGAAAATGTACTTAACGCCAGAATTGCACGAAATGATCATTAATTTAATTTCAGTAAATAGATCTAAAATGTAAAATATGTACCAACATCGCCCATTTTCTTAAGGTGGTACCAAACACCTTGACTAGAATTAATTTTCATAAAATTTTGACAAAATATTTACTTTGAGCCTTTGACAAAATATAAAAATTTCAAAAAACTTGAACCACACACTTTATCGGAAAAATTTCATTGGATATATAGCAGTTTGACAACCACTAATTTTGATCATTGAGAAACTTAATATTTCCTTAGCAATAGAACGCGATACAAACGTTCAGCTGATTTTAACAGAGTTATCTCCCTGTAGTGATATGTACCACCTTAATCAGGTGCATAAAAAATAAGGGGCTATGATGGAATGATTGCCAATAGGATAACTACATATTCATCAAAATCAAAGGTGAAGGCTACATACATTGTACATGTAGAAACGTATAAAATGCAGGAGCTATCGTATGAAACTATCCACCAAGGACAAAAGGACAAGAATGAAAACAACCTTTTCTTGTCGGGGTCCTTTTATAGTTTTTCTCATTGTTGAAGGCGTGCGGTATCCTATAATTACTTTTAACTTCGTCATTTGAACTCTGGTAGATGTTTGTCTCACTGGCATTCATACCACATCTCCTTATTTTTATATATGTTGACTTTTAATTTTCTGCCCAAATAATTTTTAAATGTTTATTCTGTCTGCACTACTGGACGAAAAAACAACTGTCCATACCAGTAACAGTCGTTCTACGACTGTCTTAGTCTGTGGAAGACTGAAGATGACTGTCAAAGAAACTGATACAGTTGATTAATGTCTGTCCCAACACTTTTATGGGTTGTGAAAATCAAAATATGTTATCAACAGTCATTTAAGGACTGTTGCAGTGGTCTACGGGGTTGTCACAGTCAAATACTATTTATTACAGTCTTTCCAAAAGTTGTGGCAGTTGTATAATGTTTGTCCCAACCTTTTAATAGTTGGGACAGTTGAAATTTGTTTGTGTCAACTTTTTAGACGTTGATGCAGTCAAAAAATGTTTGTTACAACGTTTTTAGAGTTGGGACAGTTGTAAAATGTTTGTTAAAACTTTTTAAAGGTTGTTACAGTCATAAAATGTTTATTACAAATTTTAAAAGGTTGCTACAGTCGTTAAATGTTTAAAACAAACATTTCATAGGTTGTTGCAGTCGACAAATATTTTAGCGTCACTGTAGCAACTCAGTGTATAAAAAAAATTTACGTTTCACCCGGTTCTCAAGATTTGATATAGTTGTGAAATAGCCCATAATTTATACTATTATCATCTATTGTGCGGTTGTTGACTTGTTTTGTTTTTTATTTATTTATTTTGCGATCGTTGTTTGTCTTTTGTCGTTTTCCGTTTATTGCCATAGCATTGTCCGTTCATTTTTGACATGTGCGTTTTACTTTCCTTTAGGTATCTTTACTTTTTATTTTATCTATTCAGATTCGTTCATAACTGGTTTTACACACCAGAAGCCTTCGTTTAAAAATGGAGTTTTAATATTATTGCAGAAGATGCTAATGAATTCATTCAAATTTATATTTGAAAAAGTTTTGATAAATTCTGAGGAAGAGAAAATGTACCGTCGGTGTACCTGAAGTAAATTTAAAGAATATGACTAAGTTATCAATATTGTACAGCATAATAAAACATTTTTAATTTGAATTACTCTCCATGAGCAATATTTTCCGATGATAAAAAAAATAATTAATCAAATCTGTCAAGTTTCTTTAAAAACGGAAAACAATTCTTCACCGTGGACGATTTACCCTCTTTATTTTCTTGTCGGCAAACTGGACCTGGAGGTCGGCAAACTATATTTTACACAGAAAACTACAGATGTTAGACCACATGTACAATATAAGCGGAGCTGGAAATTACAATCGGTGAGTAGAAATGAATAATATTTAAAAGCATGTCTATCGAATAATCATGGATCCAAGACTTTGAAGGGAAAATGTGCACATTTGTTCTTCCTACAGACAGGCTATGAATCGACGATCTATATCACCACACTCGTGCATAGTTGCATGTTCCAAGGCAAAGTTAGGATTTGGGCTTGGAAAAGTTGTGCATCATTGAAATTCATGTTTGACACCATTCCCCCTCCCCCTTTTATCATGTGTATGTCATTTAATCCCTTATTTACTTTGCATACATCACCCCAAGGGTGACAAGGTCAAGGGAATAAAAAAAGGTTACTCTTGATCTTCATCGTCTTACTGTTAAACTCTAACATGTGGGGCATTGGTTAACTTTTGTTGTGTGGGATGACCTTTTACAGGACCTATACATCATGTACATATTGTATGTTAATGTATTGTTAACTCTGGTCTTAAATTTGCATGAAATACTTGTCACTGGACTTCTAATAACCAACAACCAACCAATCTTTACATGTACATATCCATATAATTGTGTTACTAATGCTGGATTACAAGTATTTCCCTGGTTTTGCTTTATCAGCTGATAGTTTTCGTTCTATTAAGAATGCATTGTGACGTCACAATTTCCATTGAAAAAACATGCATAGTACAAATTAATATGACGGTGTATGAAAACATATGATCTGACCATAAAATTTTATGAAAAGTATTAATTTTAGTGACTTATTTAGCAAGTATGCATTTTCATTCAATTTTTAAATAATTCCCAAATCATGGACAACAAAACATGAATATATTTGATAATATAAGGCATTGAAAGTGAATATGTATTAGCATTGATTAGATGGTTCAAAATAACATTAATCATCAAAATAAAACAATATTATTAAATGAATGTTCCTGAAACCATGCACAGATTCAAAACAGTTGCCATTTAAACACAGTTGATTAAACAAAATGTGCTAATTCAATTAGTAATTCTTTCATCATGTACTTAAAGATTCATATTGAACAAGGGTTGTGGAGGTTGTTGCATCTTTTCTCAAAATGAATAATTACAATGAATAAAATATCTATAAATATGTCATCATGTTAATTGCTACATGTACATGATTTTAAGTTAAAAAGAAATAAAAAACATATTAAAAGAGCAAAGTGAGCATCATAATTATGTTCTTTTTAGATTTAACATAGAATATTAAATCACTATAAATTTGTAAATACTTTGAACCTAAACTATATATTTTCATGTGAAATTTTTATATAAATTGTGCCCTCTGGTTAGTCAAAATTCATTTATGCCATAAATGTTATCTAGTAGTAACATTCAAGGATCTTTTTATTTATTCCACCATGAAAATGATTAAAGGACTTTCTATTCATGAGTCAAATTTGTGTGTTAAATTGTGTTTTGGTTACTTTATTGGTGCCTTACTGTTGGGTTGATGCATCATTGATATATAATTATATCCCACATCTCCTTTCATCATGTGCATTCACATCTGACTGCAGATTTTTTGCCTTTTCAGATTTTCTACATAATTATTTTATGTTTAACATTTAATATGTGGGGAAAACATAACAAAAATATCTATCTGTAAGCATATTTTTTTTTTTATCTAAACATGGTATAAACTTTTTTAAAGTATTTTGTGAAGCTCAAAATATTTTTATAGATATTGTAGTATCAAGTAAGTTGTCATAAAATTTACTGTGTTAACTGCATTGTATGTCCAATAATTTAGTTTAAAAATACTTTTTATTCAAATTCAAAATAAATAATTAAAATTTATGTATTTACTGAACATGAATTCATGACCATGCAAATGTGACATTAAAATAGGTAATAATCAGGATGTTAACACTGGATAGGTAATAATCAGGAATTCTTATATACATGTTATAGCTAATATACAGATTAAGACACACAATAGTTTATTGCCTTGGGGAGGAATTTTAAACTGTCATGGGTATATATTGAAGATGATTTTATAATGATGTTCACAAATTATAATTGTCCTCTTCAAAATTTTGATAAATATTTCAAAATAAATTGTAATTTAAGAAAAATATGAATCAGCAGGATATAATATTATTTTGGATACAAAACATGCATATTTTAAAAGTTATCTGAGTATTGATTTATCAAAATAAAATTGGGTAAATAACTAAAATAAAATAAAGAAAGTGTTGTCTGAGCTGCAAAGCATTATTTAATACAAGCTGTAATAAGGAAAAAGTATACAGGGTAACACAAAAGATGTAAAATTAAACTCAAGGATTTAAAACATTAACCAGTCAGGGGACTTTTTGAAATAAGTGATTTTTAAGTCACTTATTTAAGTAGCAAATTGGAAGTTTTGTCACAAATTGTGATTTTGTAGTTTTACCAAAATTTTAAACACATAGGTTTACAAAATATCTTTTCATTAGTAAAATTGAAAAAAAATGAACTTTTTGCTTCTTTTAAGCAGCAAGGTTTATTTATGCCTTTGATGCAATCATTTAGCTGCAAATTCTATTTTAGTTGAAAAAATGCTATAAAAATGGCTTTACATAATGAACTGATACTTTCTTAACAGATTTTTCTCAGCAGTGCCACTGTGGGAGTATTTGCCCTGTAAAATTCAAGGTTTCATCTTATAGATTATGTAAAAAAATTCTACTGTTCACGATAAAAATTTCACTGTTCGGGGTGTTGAAATTAGTGGGGGTTATTAAAATAATGATACTTATTAAAAGAAATGATTTTTTGGAAGTAAATTGAGGTATGATACTTAAACAAGTGATTTTTATGTCATTATCCTAGATTTAGTACAAGGTCATCACCTGACATGACCGGGTCATCCTATCAACACAGATGTTGGTTTTGATAAATTTAGCAACATAATTAGCCCCTGGATCAATAGTATTCTATATTTAAAGCTACAATAAAATTAAATCACTTAGGCTAGTGATTAATTTGTATACGTACTACATGTACTTAAATAGGTGATTATTAAAGAAAAAC